AATCTCGCGACTTTCTTAGTTTAAGCCTGTAATTTAAGCAGAAAACAAAAGAGACCTGTACAAGGGTGGGCTTTTCATTTAATCATTGAGCAACCATATGTTTGCGTATAGGCTTTTAATAATTATTAACTAGATTGAAAATAATGGTTTGATTTTTTTTCCGTCAAAATAATGATTTTATTCGTTTCAATTAATTTTTTGACGTTAGGTATCCAGTTTGTTTTTTATTTTAGTAAAGAAGTTATTCTTTTTTTTTATGATTTTTTAAAAAATATTATTTTATTAATTTCAATTATTAAAGATAAAAATTGCCCAAACAAAAAATAATTTAGTGGGTAGTGACAAGAATGTCTAAAAATAATATAAAAACAATTAAAATTTTTTTTATGAAGTTTAGGGCTGGTCTTGTTTATTATACTCGACCTAGTCCTCAAGTTTTGAGTTTATAAACCTACCAATCAAAAATCAATCAACTAAAATTAATTTAGTTTAATTTCTAGTTTAAAAAAAATTCAAAATCTCTTTAAACCTGACCTATTGATTGTGATATTGATCAGACTTGATCCAATTTCGATTGTGGTCCATTCCACCGACCCATAATCCCATAAACTAATTTAGGGATTACGCCTTTCCTATTTTGGGTAAATATATTTAGGATTAGCCTGTCTCATATAAATAAGGCTAGAAGTATTATTATTCCATCTTCAATTATTAACATTATATATTTTTATTTTTATTAATCATTATATTTTTTAATTCATTTAAGATGTAAAATTTCAAGAAAAGTATAATAATCAATTTAATTAAAAAAATATAGTATTAACTATTAAAGATATCACAATAACTCTACCTCCCAACAACCAAATATCATATTTGCTTTTGAGGAACCAAACCTTCAGGATTTAATAATTTGTTTTCAAATATTTATACTTAAATAAGGTTGATCGAAAGTTCAAGTCCCACCAATTACTTAAATATTTACACTTGATCTACATGTTGTTAGTGTTTCCTTGGACTGCGCCTATTCCCTTCCCCTACCCCTTGCAATTGCCCTTGCTAAATATATATATATATATATATATATATCACATATTTGCCTTTGAGACTATAAGTCAGGTCGTTTCCTTTGAGGGTGGCTTTAAGAGGGTGTTTTACTCTTTG